TTGTTCAAACTTGGATTGAAATCTTTAGAAAACTATGATAAGAATTGTGTGATTGAGAATTTGTGGATTGATCCATCTTCTTCCTTTGATTTCGATTTTTACCTTTTTGTTTTCAATTTTACTTTATAATTCTTGATTTATATTTTGAAATCCTCAAATTTAACCTTTACAGTTGAGAATTCAATGCATTTTTATATGTGTCCTTGAGAAGAATGATTTAAATTTGCACTCTATATGTTAAAATCTCTAGAATAAATTTAGAATGATTGATTTCATCGATGACAATAAAAATCACTCGCTCATATTATTAGGATACAAACTATCTAGAAAGGAGTTATATTTAATTCTACAATCATAACATGTATTTCTACGTCAAAAGAAAGATTTTGAATAATGAGGCTTATCCAATAGAATTGTTCCATAAACTTTCTCAAAGATCCATTTTTTTTCTTTTGAAGTGTGATTGAGGTTGGTTTACCTGGTCGACTTGTTGGAAGTTTGTGTTAAACTTCTTGAAACCTCGGGATAGGTTGTAGTTCGATTTAAATCATTTCCTTTAATTTCACTGAAAAAAATCTAAAAAACAAATAAATAAATATCATTGTCTCCAAAGGTATTACTTCCATGTTCATTTGAATCCGTGACTACACTGTATTGCTCCAAAATTGGAGTTTTCCAATGCGAAGGTACGTAGTACCATGCTTGTTAGGATGGCTCTGTGTGTTGAGAGGTTGCGTCAACTTTGTACTTGTGATTGGATGAGTACGAGCCTCTTTGCGCCAAGTAGTATGTCGATGACTAACTTCTTGAGCTTTTCTTGATTTCTCTCATCGTGTGTGATGAGAAGATGTTTCTTTCTTGAACTGGAGAAGCCTACCAAGGAGTTGAGGAATTCTTTGTTACACAATTATTTTACAACTCTTTGTGATGCTTTTTTAAAGTCTTGATTTCGTGCTTATGTTTCTTTTTCATTCTCGACCATTTTTTTTAATGTATATGCTGCAAATCCAAAAAGTTTCAACTGTCACTTAAACCAACAATATGTTCTTTTATATTTTATCTAAAAGGTCAAGTTGTTTTTTCTTTAAACAGTTTAAATTTTCTTTCATCTATTAACATGTACGTATCAATGTATTAAAATAAATTAGATATACAATATACTAAATGTTGAGATTTTTTTTAAATAAAGTGGGGAAATTTCATGTCAATAAGCAATTTAATAAAAATCGTATTAATGTCTAATTATTATGAAGAAAAATACAATGGAAATAATAATATTTGTCGAAATATAAAGAAAATTTAAACTTAACTTATATGATAAATATTTATCTTAAATTATCAAACAATTGAAAACATCCGAAAAAACATATTCTATTGTAAATTTAAAAGTTTTCAGAATTATTATTATGTATATTCTTAAATAATAGAATATATATATATATATATATATATATATATATATATAATTTATAATATTAATATTAACATATAATTTATAATTTTAATTTTAATTTTAATATTTTAATTTATTTATTTTTTAACTTTTTGCCCTTGATTTCGAGTTTTGACTCAGCCTCTGATTTTGTCCCAGTTGAAATAATAATACAATAGCTATGTTTAACTTGAGAATTGTTTGTTGATATTATTCTTCAATTTCTATTTTCATGCACTTTATTCATGTCAACATGTACAGTCCCGTGGCAGTGTTCCGAAGCGAAGTTGCCGAGCGCCTCTTGACTCGAGTTGCGTTCCAACTCCAAAACTAAATCACATAAAATGCGCAGCCACTCAGCACCATAACTTAGACTATATCCTTTACGTTGTAGGTGAAATAGACTTTTCAAAAACAAAACATCACGAGTTATTCTCTTAAATATCATTGGGGGGCCACAGGACAACAAATGCATCCCTGTCCATTGCTTATAAATGAAAGCACTCCAAGCCTGTTTTCTAAGGCCGCCTCAACTAGGGATTGCACGTCCTAGTTCCTACACTCCTTAGCCTCCCTAGCACCAGCCTATACAAAGACCCCAGAGAAAACACAATGCTGGTAGAAGTTGTAATTGGTCTGTTGGTGATAGCATTGTTTCTGCACTTGCGTCCCACACCGACAGCTAAATCAAAGGCTCTTCGCCACCTTCCTAATCCTCCAAGCCCAAATCCTCGTCTTCCCTTTGTTGGACACCTTCACCTTTTAAAAGACCAACTTCTCCACCACTCCCTCATTACTCTTTCCCAACGTTATGGCCCTTTGTACTCTCTCTACTTTGGCTCTATGCCCACCGTTGTTGCCTCCACCCCTGACCTGTTCAAACTCTTCCTTCAAACCCACGAGGCTGCTTCCTTCAACACAAGGTTTCAAACCTCTGCCATTAAGCGTCTCACTTATGACAACTCCGTTGCCATGGTTCCCTTTGGACCTTACTGGAAATTCATCAGGAAGGTCATCATGAACGACCTCCTCAACGCCACCTCCGTCAACAAGTTGAGGCCATTGAGGAGCCATGAGGTCCACAAGGTTCTCAGGGTCTTCGCCCAAAGTGCAGAGGCCCAACAACCCCTTAACGTCACCGAGGAGCTTCTCAAGTGGACTAACAGCACCATCTCCATGTTGATGCTAGGTGAGGCTGAAGAGGTTCGAGATTTGGCTCGCGAGACCGTTAAGATTTTCGGGGAATATAGTCTCACTGACTTCATCTGGCCCTTGAAGAAGCTCAAGTTTGGAAAGTATGAGAAGAGGATTGAAGAAATATTCAACAAGTTCGACCCTGTCATCGAGAAGGTTATCAAGAAGCGCCAAGAGATCATCAGGAGAAGAAAGAATGGAGAAGTTGTTGAGGGAGAGCAGAGCGGTGTTTTCCTCGATACTTTGCTTGAATTCGCTGAGGACGAGACCATGGAAATCAAAATTACCAGGGAGCAGATCAAGGGTCTTGTTGTCGTAAGTTTCTTTCTTCTCTTTTCTTGATTCACTTCATCACACCTATTAACATTATACCCATTTGCGGTTAAGAAAATTCTAACCATTGAGTATTCAATAAAGGAGGTGTTAATGCTTGAAGTGGTGGTGGCACGTGCATGCACGTAAAATATGCAGTAAGACGAAAAATATACTCGCGAACCAATGTAGCAAGTAGCTTATATACAAACTTTATTGTGACAGGACTTCTTCTCAGCAGGGACAGATTCGACGGCTGTGGCAACAGAATGGGCTTTGGCAGAGCTGATCAACAACCCTAAGGTATTGCAAAAGGCTCGAGAGGAGGTGTACAGTGTTGTCGGAGAAGATAGACTTGTGGAGGAAGTTGACACTCAAAACCTTCCATACATTAGAGCCATTGTGAAGGAGACATTCCGCATGCACCCACCACTCCCTGTGGTGAAAAGAAAATGTGTGGCAGAGTGTGAGATTGACGGGTACGTGATCCCAGAAGGAGCATTGATACTTTTCAATGTGTGGGCTGTAGGAAGAGACCCTAAATACTGGGACAGACCATTGGAATTTCGTCCTGAGAGATTCCTACAAACTGGAGCCGAAGGAGAAGTTAGGCCTATTGATTTAAAGGGGCAGCATTTTCAGCTTCTCCCCTTTGGGTCAGGTAGGAGAATGTGCCCCGGAGTGAGTTTGTCTACTTCAGGAATGGCAACACTTCTTGCTTCTGTCATCCAATGCTTTGACCTGCAAGTGGTGGGCCCAGAAGGACACATATTGAAAGGTGATGATGCCAAAGTTAGCATGGAAGAGAGAGCTGGCCTCACTGTTCCAAGGAAACATAACCTCGTCTGTGTTCCACTTGCAAAAACAACCCTCGCAGCCAAACTCCTTTCCTCCTAAACTACAATTTACAAAAGTGAATTACAGTTGCGGTTACTTTTATGTTATCCTAACTGGAAATAATAGATTGGCAACCTAAAACAAACAACCAAATTATAATTTTTTTATTGATGTAATAATAAAACTTTATATTTTTATATTTATTATTATTTTATTATTAACGAAAAGTTATGAGAAAGATGTTAGGAGTAAAGTGTTATTTATTTATCTCAATGAGTTGTAATTGATATATACCCACACATACGAGTTATGTTCTAAAATTAGATTTATCATTGTTGTTATCTCAATGAAATTATAATTTGAAATATGATTTTATTTTTCATAATGAAGCTATATTCTAAATTAGATTTATCCATTTTCATAATTTCTCTGAAAAAATATTCATTTCGATAAAATATAAAGGGAATTATACTAATATATGGTTCATATTTTGACATATACACAACAAAACCATTCATTATACAACCTTATTTATTAATATTATATTTATAAAATGATTGATTTAAAATAAAAAATTAATTAAAAATTATTATTTTATTAACAAATCAAGTGGTTGAATGGAGGTTTGTTGAGAGTGGATTGTTTATCAATCTTTTTCCTTTTGTTTAATTGCTTGTTCCACCTTATTAATTCTCCAAGACCCATTACCAATCTGACATATTTTTACAGAGATAATATATTCACAAAAATAATCAATTCAAATAAAAGTATTTTAAAATTAATATTATATTCTTAAATGAAGTTATCATGGTGTTTACGCATAAAATAGAACGGTGTCAAAATATATTTTTTCATTTTTTTTTTAAGTCAAACTTTAACGCTAGAGCAATATTAGGCATCAAAGGAGCCTAGCCATGAAGAGGGAAGTATTGAGAGTTTAAGTTTGATTACAACAATATCCACGAAATGAGATGAGGTAGCCTTCTCTTAAAATCGTTGTACGGTTTCTCCGATTCACAAAAGGTACGTGACACTATTTCATTACTCTGATTTTTATACATTAGTTACATCTTTCCCCTTGTAAAGTCTGTGACTAATGTAACTTCGTTTCTTATAATAAAATAGGTCGGAAACAAGGAAAGAACGAGGCAAAAAACTCACACCCTTGCCTTGAATCTTTCATAATTGCGTTTCATACTTCGCTGCTTCCTGTGAACAGTAAAATATGTTCACGCATAAAGATCATTCTGCACTGGTATTCGATTTCTTGCTATCAGTCTCCATTTCATTTGTATAAATTGATACTTGCTAATGTGCTCATTGTAGGAGGCAATGAAGTAGTCCACTAGCAATAAAGCTGAAGAAATGAGTCATCTGGCTATATTTCTGGTCTATTTACTTTGGTTAACGAGTAAGTGAAATAACATTCATTTTCTGCTACAAAATCTTATTTTTACAAAATAACACCAATTTTTATGAGTCCACAGGAGCAAGAGTATCAAGCAATATTGGTGTGAACTATGGCCAACTTGGGAACAATCTACCCTCTCCACATCGATCCATTGAGTTACTAACAACAATGAAAGCTGGCTGCGTGAAGCTCTATGATGCCAACCCCGAGATTTTGAGGCTTTTATCCACCACCAAGCTCAAAGTTTCCATCATGATCCCAAACAATGAAATTTCAGGCATTGCTGCAAACCAAAGCAAAGCTGATGAATGGGTGAGGAACAATGTCCTCCCCTATTACCCTAAAACATTGATCCGCTACATACTCGTGGGCAACGAAGTGCTGAGCTACAATTCAGAACAAGGACACCAAATGTGGCATGATCTTGTTCCAGCAATGCGAGGCATAGAAAGATCCCTTATGGATCAGAACATCATTGACATCAAAATTGGCTCCGCATTAGCCATGGATGTGTTGCAATCAACGTTCCCACCTTCAAGCGGTACATTTAGATCTGACGTGAGAGACAGCGTGATGGCACCAATGCTAGAGTTCTTAGACAGAACCAAGTCTTTTTTCTTCATTGATGCATACCCGTATTTCCCGTGGTCTCAGAACCCGTACAACATCAGCCTTGACTTTGCTCTATTTAGGGGAAATTCCGGCGTAAGAGACCCTGTCACTGGCTTGATCTACACCAATTTGTTGGACCAAATGCTTGACTCACTCATCTTCGCCATGTCTAAATTGGGGTACCCAAACATCAACCTCGTGATATCCGAAACAGGTTGGCCTAACTTCGGTGACAGAGAAGAACTTGGAGCAAACACATTCAATGCAGCCACATACAACCGCAACCTGATCCACAGAATGACAACAAAACCACCCATCGGAACCCCAGCTAGACCCGGAATGGCAATACCCACCTTCATCTTTTCACTGTTCGATGAAAACCAAAAGCCTGGTCCAGGAACAGAGCGACACTGGGGCCTACTACGTCCAGATGGAACACCAATTTATGATATCGACTTAGCAGGAAAACAACCCATGACAGATTTAGCAGCATTACCAGCTCCAAACCACAATTCACCTCACAAAAAAAATGTGGCGTGTGGGGCTGCTAGGCAAAAATAGAAAGCAAGTTGAGTGAAAATTACACTTCTTTGGGTCCTGCAAGATCACATTGCAGTTATATAATCAATATGACTAATAATTTAGTTATAATAATGGAAGGAAAATCCCTAACATGCTTCTATAAGTTCAAATTCAAATCCTGCAATGTACCAACAAATCAAATAACACTAATTTCAAATCCTTCAATTTACCTAACATTTACCCTTACATTCGTAAATTAAGTTGACAAACTCATTACATTTTCACATGTAATAGTCAATTGTTTCACAAACTCAATTAACCACAACTTGTAAACTACACTTCAGAATTAAAATTGAACTCAACACAATTTGAAGCGAAGACCAGAAGCAATAATTTCGTTGACAAAGAGTTTACAACATTACAGAGTCTCCTCAAAGAAAAGCGCACGTACAGTTATAGTAACCAACAACGCTTGAAATTATCTATACAGGGATGACAGGATGAAGATTAAGCGCGCTCGCCCCTAATGCGTCTAGCTAGTTGAATGTCCTTGGGCATGATGGTGACACGCTTGGCGTGAATGGCGCAAAGGTTGGTGTCCTCGAAGAGACCAACGAGGTAGGCCTCGGCCGCCTCCTGGAGTGCGGAGACGGCAGAGCTCTGGAAGCGTAGATCGGTCTTGAAGTCCTGAGCAATCTCACGAACCAGTCGTTGGAAAGGGAGCTTCCGGATCAGAAGTTCAGTGCTCTTCTGGTACTTTCGGATCTCGCGGAGCGCCACCGTCCCTGGCCTGAATCTATGAGGTTTCTTCACCCCACCGGTGGCCGGAGCAGACTTTCTAGCGGCCTTCGTCGCCAGCTGCTTCCGCGGCGCCTTCCCACCTGTGGACTTCCGAGCGGTTTGCTTCGTACGGGCCATTGCAAAGATGGACTTGAACGTAGAAGCAAATGATTTTATGTGTTTTTGTTATCGGTTGCAGTTGTGAAGGGATGGACGGGTGTGTTATATATAGTGAGTTTTTAAAATTGGGGTGTGCGCCGTGGGTGGGAGGGAAGAATGGGAAATGTTGAGCGTTGATGTTTTGGGCTAATGGACGGATGTGATTTGTTTAAAGTGTGGCAGTGCGCGGATCGGTGACGTGGCTCAAAGGATAGGAGAGGCTGCATCACCGTTGATCTAGTGATAATAGAAGGTCACGATTGAATTTCATAATTAGATGAGGATCGATTCAAAAAGAACCAAAACCTCAACTCTCTCTAAGGCTGTTAAGATGGAATGGTCCGATATGCTCAACCCGGCCCACCACGTGGGTTGATTTAATTCATTACAGGTTAATAAATAAAAAGTGAAATAAAATTCTTATAATATCACATTATTATTACGCAACAATTTTTATTTAATTTTACTTTAATAAAAAATTTTAAACAATTCCAGATAATTTTTTATTTTATAATTTTTTATTTAGGTTTATACATTATAATATTTATTAATATTAAAATTTAATTAATTAATATTTTGTATAAAATTAAATAAATATAATATATTCATTAAACAATTAATTAAATTTTATATTTAAAATTAATTACTTTAGTTAATAACACCCCATCATATTTTAATTTAAAAATGATATAAAATATATAATATTTAAATAAATATAATGAAATCAAATAACACTAAAAATATATTGCATAAATTTTTTTATCATTCAATCCTTCAAAATTTTATTAAATATGTTTTATCAAATCTTCTTGAAGTTGGTGGTGATTATTTTTATCTTGAATTCGCTATTCTCCTTTAAAAATATGTAGATCTAAAATAAAATGAGGACTTGAAGATATATCAATAATCGACATGTCATTTTCTCTAATATCATAATCAACAAGATTTTGATTAGTGTATTATTCGTTCTCAACAATCATGTTGTAATATAATACATGCATAAATTATGTTCTTCAATATATAACCATCCCAAAAACGAGTCGAACCGTATATAATTGTAAATCAAGATTAAAGGACTTCAAATACATGTTCAATATCCTTTCGGGTTGACTTTCGTCGTTAAACAAATAAATTTCTCTTTTCTTCTTGTGGCATTGAAATAGTTTTCACAAATGTGGTAAAATCTGGATAAATATCATCTACTAAGTAATATCTCATATCATATTGTGTTTTATTCAGAGTGCAGTGCACCGCATGTGCAAAACCTGACTTAACCTCATTAAACACATTATATGCATATAACATAATATCATTATTTGACCCTTTAATACCAAAAAATATGTGTCAAATCCACAAGTTTTGTGATGTCACAACTTCAAGAATAATTGTCGGGTAGAATGATCATCTCGACAAAATTGACCTTTCCATGCATTTTGACAATTTTTCCATTCCCAATGCATTCACCTGAAGATGATGAGTATGCACTTAAAGTAGAAATTTTGCATCTTTCTAAAAAATCATTCATAAATATTGATTGTCATTTTGATTCATCTCTTAACAACAACCAAGCATATTCATATTCAAAATTGTTTTTCCTTTCAAATATTCTATGAAAATCTTATGTACAAATGACATAACATCTTTCTCAACCCAATCACTTTTCCTTTGATTAACAACTTGTTTGTAGATGCATTAAATCTTTGAACTGCAAGATAAAATTTACTCCATCGAGATTTCCTTTGATTTTAATTCAACTCCAACAATTAAATTCTTCGACACATCCAACCATGATTGAATTAGAATCATATCCTTTAGTATAGAGAAAGTTACATGAGGTTTCCTATGAGACATATTTTCACCATATCCATCAAGTTGGATATTATCAAGTCTGATTGGGGAAAGAGGCTCTATGTTGGATGAAGGAGAAATTTTACTCATATTTGATATAGCGGAAACATAAAAAATGGTGGTGGATAAATATAATTTTGAGAATTTTTACCCGTAAGAGATGAATAATTTTGTAATAGATTATAATAATACTGGCAATTAAATTGATTAGGATCCCTAATTGGAGAAGAAGAAAAATGGTGAAATGAAGGATATGTAAAAAAAAAAAAAACCTTAATTAAGGTTTTATAGTGTAAAAAAATTATTACTTAACGGCTACTCAACTACACTCAATAGTCATAACTAAAAACAACTCTCAACGGCTAAAAACGAGCACAATCCAACGGTCTAATTTTTCTCTCTTCACAATCTACCCATACAAATTTTTTCAACTACTCCATTCTTCTACTCACGCATCCTCTTTCAGTTCTCCTTTCTCCCTTTCACTCTTTCATATCTCCTTTCTCCCTTCCTCTTCCTCTCTTCCCCTTTTCCCTTCCCTTACTCCCTTCCTCCCATCTTCTCTTACATTGCATTTGTTGTCATCACTTCTATTGTTATTGCCTCCATTGTCGCTACTACTATCATTGTGTCCATGTTTGCTGCCATTGTTTAGGTTTATTGTTTTCATTTACATGCTCTCATTTACTGTTTTAGTAGAATAGTTTACTACTTTTAATTAGTTTAATAGTTTACTACTTTTCTGAATTAAAAATTATAAAATCCCCTTATCTTCTAGAATTTGACATTGAAAATCAAGATTTAAACAAAACTAAGCAATTATCCTCGAGGACACGACCTAGGCCAGCCCTAGGACTTCATTATTTTTTTTGGAAATTCTTTGATGAGATCTTCGCAACAAGATTAACTTCGTCATCAACCCATTTACACTTGAAAATAGGCATTGAAAACTTAGTATAACTATCCTCCAAAATTTCCTTAATTATACCATAATACAACATTGATCCAATAATAGGACTTTGATCCTTAGAAGTAGAGAACTGCCTGGACTATGTTTGAAGAGTCACACCATTATTTTGAATAGTACTTTTATTATCTTGTCACTTTGTATAGAAGGAACAATTATTAATATCATATTTGGTAGAACATAAGACATCAAATTTAAGTCTATTTGCTAGCCATGTTAATGTTTCAGATGTTGTCGGATCTTTCATGATTTCCTCTTAAAATCATGCTATGAATGTCTTGTTATGTTGCATCAACACCCACTTCTTTGATTGTCTTGGGTTATTCTCTGGTTGTCTTCGATTATTCTCTTTGACAATGACTTTATGAGCAAATAAGTAAGAAATTACCTTATTTGTATTGTTCAATATATAAAAATGTGTCTGAAAAACTTCACATGATTTAATTACTATATTAACGCCTTGTAAACACTTACTTGTTTATCATCTATTGTGTCAAGAGTTTAATGGAAGGTAGGATTTGTTTTTAACATATACTTTGAACAAAATACAATGGCCTTTTCTACAATGTATCTCTCAATCATAGAGGCTCCTGGACGATAATAATTTTTAACATACCCTTATAGAATCTTCATACAATGCTCAATTGAATACATCCATCTTACATAAATTGGATCACACAATCTTATTTCTCTAACTATATCTACAAACAAATGCACCATGATATCAAAAAAGATGGAGGAAAAAACATTTCCAATTGACATACAATAAAAACAATCTCCTCTTCCAATGCATCCAATTTGGTTTGGTCAATTACTTTACTACAAATTGAATTGAAGAATGCATACAATTGAGTTATAGTTTGTCTCACATTTTTTTGCAAGATTTCACAAATAACTAGAGGCAATAATTATTGCATCAAAATATGACAATCATGTGACTTAAGACCAACTAGTTTCAAATCTTGTATAGATATAAGACTCTTACTATTTGAAGAGAATCCTTGTGAAACTTTCACACTCTTCAAACTTTGACAAGAATTTGGTTTCTTCTTTTTGGACAAAGTATAACAAGTTGGGGGCAAATATGTGTGTTATCCTACCTCTATTGTGCTAACTCCTCTTGTATCTTCATTTCAATCAAATTCAAACGAGCATTGACATCATCATTTGTCATCCCCTTAATATTCATAAGTGTTCCAATTAAGTTATGACATATATTTTTTCTCCACGTGCATTACATCAATAAAGTGTTTTACATTAAGCTTACTCCAATATGTTAAATAAAAGAAGATAGACTTTTTTCCCTATACAACATTAATATTCTTCACCATTTCATAAGTTTGAGCACCAATTAATGGAGTTGGTGCTTCGTCATTCTCTTGATGTCCATAAAAGATCCAAGAAATGATCATCTTGTTACATTGATTCCATTGTTTCAATAAGAGATCGAAGAAGTGTTCCATCTATGAACCTATGCTAGCTTAGTAACATAAATTTGTTTACGGTTAAGAAAGGACACCAAAATTGGATCCTTAGTTAAAATGCATAATAACAAATTTTTATCATAGCAGATATTATGGCCTTTGTGTGTAATACCTAAGTGTTAAGAGTTTTGTGAATCATTCCTTTCATTGTTCAAAATAGAACCACCAAACATACACTCTTTCTAGACTATAAGAAAAAAGACAAATGTAATAAAAGGAACTAAATCCAAAAGCATGATTTGAGAGAAAACTTGAAAGTACTATTTGTTCAAATATCGCTAGGATCTAACATAATAATTTGATTCCTGGTATTTCACATTTTATCAAAATTTGTTCCACGATGACACACATAATTATAAGAACATACTTGAAAAGGTTGAAAACATCAAGTTCTTCCCAAAGTCTCTTTGTCATTGTGAAATATTTCAATACAATAACTTATCCTTATTTACATAAATAAAATTCTTCTTGTAAACTAACAATCTAAGACTAATCGCCCTGTGAAAGTCTATCATGTAAATCACGACATATCTGACATGCATTTTCCATCCACCCTATAGAAACATGAATATAAAGACTTATCAAAAGATCCTTGAATGATAATCATATTACATTGATTCCATTATGGAAGAGTGGATTTCCAATATGAAATTCAAGAAGTATTCCAACCATGATAATTT